GCTGAGCAGCGTTGTCGCTTGTAATCCGTTCGTTTCGACCACTTCGTGGGATAGCTCGCAACTCGCAACTCCTCCTCCTCCTCCTCCTCCTCCTCCTCTCCTCCTCCTCCTCCTCCTCCTCCTCCTCTTCCTCATCCTCGTCCTCCTCCTCCTCCTCCTCCTCATCCACCTCCTCCTCTTCCTCGTCCTCCTCGTCCTCCTCGTCCTCCTCCTCCTCCTCCTTCTTGAACATTCGCCCTGGAAAGTCGACCCGCAACCGGCCCTGCAGGGGAGGGGGGACGCCTCCCGTGCGCCCCGCTGGCGCCCGCGTATTCGCTTGCGGCGGGGGGGCGGATCGGCTCCAGCAGAGTGGGCAGCGCCAGCGGGAAGCCCTTCGGAGGGTCGACCTCTGGAGGATCGGCGACGACGACGACGACGACGACGACAACGACGACGACGCCGACGACGACGGCGACGACGACGACGACGACGGCGACGTCGACGACGACGGCGACCTCCCCCACAACCGTCCGCCCTCTTTCTACTTCTCCTCCCTTGGGATGGGGCTCGTCGATCATTCCTCCTCCTCCTCCTCCCTCTCCTCCTCCGCCCTCCTCCTCCTCCTCCTCCTCCTCCTCACCGCCCTCCTCCTCCTCCTCCTTCTCCTCATCCTTCCTCCTCTCCTCCTCTTCCTCCCTCCTCCTCGGTTCGCCAGAGATTCCGAGTCAAATCGGATTCTGGGTAGTTGTGAGACTCGACGCTTTCGGCCCCTTCACCGTTCGCGCCGCCCCGCCGCCGCCTCCTCCTCCTCCTCCTCCTCCTCCTCCTCCTCGTTCTCCTCCTCCTCCTCCTGGTCCTGCTCCTCCGCTTCCTCCTCCTGGTCCTGCTCCTCCTCGTTTTCCTCCTCATCCTCCTCCCGTGGGCAGCGGCAGCGGAAGCCCTCCAAAAGGTCGACCGTCGGCATTCGTGGTCGCTCCTGATTGTTGCTGTCTTCCAACCTCTCCTTTTCTACTTCGCTCCTCCTCCGTAACCTTTCTCTTCCACCGCTGCCCCCCTCCCGCGCAAACGCAGGGGGAAAGATTGTTGAGCTGTTTCGAAGGGCCAGCCTTGGGCGTGCAGAAAGATCCCAGCCGACGACGACGACGACGACGACGACGACTACGAGGACGACGACGACAGCGACGACCACGATAAAGACGGCGGCGTCAACGACGACGGTGACGACCTACTCCTCCTGCACATTATTTGTTTCACATCAGTACTGCTGCTCCTCCTCCTCCTCCTCCTTCCCTGTCTTCCTCCTCCCTCCCTGTTATCCTTCTCCTCATCTTTCCTCCCCGTCCTCTGCCAGCAGGCAACGTCACCGGGAAGCCCCTTCAGAGTGCGGAGGGATCCCCGCCTGCAGATGAGAAGGTGGAGCAGCAGGGACGAAGAGGAAGAAGAAGAGGAGGAGGAGGAGGAGGCGGAGGATGACTATGTTTGTGTATGGTTGGGATTCTTTCCTGGGGGGGGGGCTCCTAGGGGCCCCTCGTTGCCATGGCTGGATTCGCCTCGGGATAATTGTCAGAAGGAAGCCCAGGATCGCTCAAGGTTCCGATTCTGAGGGGAAGGAAGTACAGGAGGAGGAACGGGGAATATGATGGGGAAGGGCAGGGGGGGAGGAAGAGGAGTAAGGGGAAACAGAGGAGGAAGACGACAGGAAGGAGAAAGAGACACGGGACGAGGACGACCCCCGAATACACCACGTGTCTGATAGTGTATCATCATTCGGCGGGGCATCGATCAACCTCCTGCTCTGAACTACTCGATCAACCACTTGTGGTTGAGTCGAGAGGCTCTTCCGCAAGAGGCCCAAGTACGACCGACCGCGTGCCTTGACAAAGTCGCTTGCCGATGCTACTCGACCCGATCTGTTTGAAGGGGCCCCAGGACACACACAAATAAATGCACACAGATAAACATATTCCCCATAGTTTCCCATATTTTCTGGGCTTCTGTCTTCCCCACCACTTCCCATAGTTTCCCATGTTTTCTGGGGAATCGAGGATGAATTGTGTCTGTGTGTTTCTTTGTCTCCCGACTGTTCCTTGGCCAGTGATTGTGCGGGCAGCAATCCGAACTGGATGTGTTGGGTGCCGTTGCCCGTGCGATATGCCCAGCAGTTCAGGGAGTCCACACGTGGGCTCTGCCGCTGCAAACATGCTTGGCGCGACTGACGGCCTGATCTCACGGCAGATCGCTGCGCGGACTCCCATCCAGGCCGAAGAGAAAGAAAGGTGGAGACGATTGAAGTGGCCCAAGGACACACACATAAAAACACACACATAAAACTATTCCCGATATTTGTTTTGTTTCTTGGTTTTTGTCTTCCCCCCCCCAATTCCCATAGTTTCCCATATGTTCTGGGGAATCGAAGATTACTTGTGTCTGTGTTCTTTCCCTCCTGAAATATTGAGTTTCAGCCTTCCTCTCGCGGGCCGCGACGGCAACTATGGCGGCAAGTCTAGGGCATACAAGATCAAAAAGGGAGGACAAGAGCGACAAGAGGGAGGCACAAACCCGACGAGGCGAAGCCGTAGCAGCAAAGACCAGGAGCCAGCAGAAGCAGGAGGGAGCGGGGCAGGGAGATAAAAGAAGAACCAAACCGCTGCACGCTGGGACATACAACGTCAGGAATATGGTCCGTGGCTCAGGTGAGACATGAGTGCGAAACGCCTGGCACAGAATAGGCTGGCCTGAGACACCGAAGTTGCTCCAGCCGATAGCTCCGAAATATCTACCAATTTTCATAAGCCAGTATGGTATCACGTAACAAAGTGCGGCCTCTCGTTTGCCAAGTGCATCATTGGCTGACTGCAGCGGAAAGCACGGAGCAGCTATGAATGATTCAGAAACTGTCTCGCCAAACAAAAAGCGTTGAACTCACAGGTGACATGTCAACAACATAGTGGTTGCTGTACTCTCGCTCACCGATGTCGTACTGTAAATGCACTTTGGGCCAAGCCCAACGATTCTTGTCGCGGCGTCGATGGTATTCTGGTTCTTGGCCTGCGAGATGCCCCACAAAGTGAGTGCGGCTTCGTTCGGGAGGAAGCGCTCAACATCTCGGCCACGGCACTCGCACAGTACTAGCTCGTCGATGTCCGTAAGACCTAGAGTGCACCTCGCTCGCCACTGACACCAACTGTGTGCTGGTCCGTCCACTGGGGAGACGTATTCGGCCCATCCTTGATCGGTTGGCAGATGGACGAGAAAACGATTGCCTGCATACGTACTGCAAGGTCCGGTCGCAGCGGCAAAGCATCACCGTGAATGCCTCGTGCCGCTGACAATATATCTGTTGCCGCCAGTCTTGAGGCGAAGCTCGAGGATGGAGTACCTATCCTCCATGTGAAAAGCAACAAGAGTACCCCTTATCCGTTGCGAGGGGGCCTAACGCAGGAGGGCCAGGACACATCAGGGATAGGGTTTTTGCAAATGTCTCAAGCGAACCCACACCCGCATGATTGGGGACAACCTTCAAACACCGCTGACCAAAGTTAGGCCACGAATTCACTGTGTTACTAGGGAAGGGGTTGCACTATGCTTGATGTTCGATGGATGGAGTCGTGGATCGTGGTACGCGCCGACGCAAGCAACGGCCGAGGCCAAAGTTCCACCCGCCTGGTTCGCGGGTCGCTGCCGTTGTCGGAGGCGCGGGGCCCGGCTCTGGCGTTAGGTCGGGCATGTCCCCCCACAGGCGGGTTTTTGGACGAAGAATCAAACATGCTCAAAAGATGTTCAAACATAGCCAAACAAATACTGGAACAATCGTCCCCAGACTGTGTTTTGACTATTTTGGGATACTCCTCCTGTAGAGGGGCAGGCCCGACTTCATTCTGGCAGAACGCGGAGCTCGAGGGCCTGGCAGGCCCGCGCCACGGGTGGAGAAGCCTCCAGCGGCACTTCCACTGGGAGGATCCACTGGCAGTGACGAACTCGACTGCCTCCCCTGATGGGCCTGCTTTCCACCACCACCACCATAAGTTGGAGGGGGGAAGGAGGAGGAGGAGGAGGAGGAGGAGGAGGAGGAGGAGGAGGAGGAGGCGCAGGAGGAGGAGGAGGAGAACGTCCTCCCCCTCCAGCTTATGGTGGCGGTGGTGGAAAACAGGCCCATCATCCCCTGAGCACGTGAGCGACGCAAATGGCATAGCGACCGTACTCCGCGGCTGACGCGGGCGATCAGCGCGGCACGCTACATCGGAAACCAAAGCGCTGACGCGCGACCTATACGCCGGCGGCTTACGCGCCGTTGTCGGTTCAGACGAACCAGTTGTCCTGCGTCGATCAAGGCAATTTCCCGCTGATGAACTGCGTTAGCGGTTCGCATGTTACACAAGTGTCCTGTCTCGTCATGCCCCGTTTTCAGATCACCACTATGACTATGATACTGAACCTCCGTGCCCATGCTGGACAAGGAGGTGCACGTTTCCTTCAGCTGAGCCAGCAGCGTTTTATGGTGCTCGGCCAGTTGCTTCGAGAGAGCGACGCCGTGGGACTGCATCGAAACATTCATCATATCCTGCATCGCGATCTTGCTCAGGTCAGGGCTCGACGATCGGCCGTCACTGCCCTCACCACGGGGCTTCTTCGCGTTAATTAGGCGCCATGGCAGAGAGATGTATCAAAATAGATGTGCGAGAGAAGGGGCAGGAGAGATAATTAGTGTCCGCCTGGGCACGACAACCAGACTCAGATCGGACCCACAGGTAGTGCTGCCCACTCTCAAATATGGAATCCCCTGCAATACTCTAGCCAAAATGGAAACAGCAGGAGGAGGAGGAGGAGGAGAAAGAGAAGGCGGAGGAGGAGGAGGAGGACGAGGAGGAGCAGCAAGAGAAGGAGGAGAAGGAGGAAAAGGAGTCAGCACTCCTGAGGCAGGAGGGTAAGGAAGGTCGCAGGAACATGTGCGCCCGTGCGCAGCAGCGCAGGCTCTGCTGCAAGCCGTCCACCGCGCCCACGTAGTTACTCCAGGGCACCGGTCACAGCCTGTGCCCCTCGGGGCCGAAGGCCACGTCCAGCGCGAAGAGGTGGCCCTGCCCGATGCCCTCGCCCACCGCGTTCGGATAGATGCCCCGCAGCTGGTCCCAAGACACCTCCGCGGGCTCCACCTCCGCGGTGGCGCCGGGGCCGCCGCCGGCCACCACCCCGGCGAGCCGCCACGCCGCCACGGCCGCACGCGCGGGCTCCGCCTCCCTGCCCGCGTGCAGGGCCATCAGCTCTCCCACCGGCACCCACGCGCACGCGTCGCACTCGGCCGGCTGCAGCCCCGGGGGCGCGCCCGTGGCGGAGCCGACGTCGGCAAAGAAGAACACCACCAGCGAGTGGCCCCAAACGCGGCCAGCGCTGATGCAGCCCTCGACGGTCGTCGGGTACCGCGGGCGTCGTGTCGTGTCGACCCTGGCGTTGGTTTCCTGACACCGCGGGGATCACTCCACCTTGAACGATCGGCCACTTCCGGAACGTCAGATCGTTCAACATCGACCGGTTCTGCGTCGCCGGCGGCGTTCAACGTTGAACGCTGGCGGCGGGGTCGCCGCCGGTCGACACGACGCGAACCTGCTGCATACGCTCTCCCAGGCACAGAGAGGGCTCATCGCCTCTGGCGGCACGGCCAGGCCAGTCTCTTCCAGCAGCTCGCGGGAGGCCGCCTGGGCCAGGCTCTCGCCCTCGTCCGCGGCGCCGCCGGGGAACACCCAGCACCTGGGGAAGGCGCGCATGCTCCCAGGGCGGCGGGTCAGCAGCACCCGCCCGGCCGCGTCGCGCGCGAGGGCCACCGCAGACAGCCTGGGGCACGCGAAGCGCCGCGGGAGGTCGAGGCCCCTCCGCTGCAGCTCCGCCACCGGGCAGGCCACGGACGCCCCCCAGCGCGCCTCGCTCCCGGGCAGCGACGGCGCGGCGCGCCCCAGCGGCAGCGGGCGGCTCCAGCCCGGGGCGGCGCCGCCGGCGGCGCCGTGCCCCGCCGGGGGCTCGCCGCTGGCCAGCAGGAGCTCCCCCGCAGGCCCCTCGAGGAGCTGCACCTCCTGGGCCTCGTAGAAGGCGCCGCGCCGCGCCCCCGCCGCGCCGCCCCCCAGGCCCGCGGCGGCGGCCCAGACGCTCTCGCCGTAGGCGGGCGCCCGCGCGGCGCCCGGTCGCGCCGCGCCCCGCAGCGGCAGCAGCCCCGCAGACATCGGCGTGCAGAGAGGCGGGGCGGCGCGCCGCCCGTCGATCGAAGGCCTGCCGCCTCGGGGCGCCACGGCGCGCGCGCGCGCGGGCCAGGCTGGGCCGCGCGGGCTCGGAGCGGAGCCAGCTGCTCGAGGGCGAGGAGCAAGAGGAGCGGGATGGCCGCTCCTCTTTTGACCGACCGCCTGGAAGATGGCCCCAAGAGGCCCTCCAGGGCTCCCAAGGGGGCCCCCAAGAGGGCCCCACGAGCGCCCCAAGAGGCCCCAAGAGGGTTTCAAGAGGCCCCCGCCATGCCCCCAAGATGCCCCCGAGTGACCCCCAAGCGGCCTCGGAGAGCCCAAGATGACCTCCAAGATGGCTCAAGATAGTCCAAGCTGGCTCATGATGGCTCCCAAGATGCCCCGAGAGGCCCCAAGACCGCTCCCAGACGGCTCGAGATGGCCACGGGGCCTCCCCAGGAGGCCGCTAAGAAGCCAAAATCCCCCTCTTCGTGTCGCCCCTCTCTCCCCGTCATCTCTCATGGGCATCGTTTCTGGATGGGCTGGTGGGGATTTTGTTTGTTCGCGAGCGCGCAGGGGTGCCAGGCGCCGTCATGGAATTGTCAGCTAGCAAAGGCCTAAATTAGGCTGATGTGGATACACGAAGCGTCAAGAATTTTCTCTTCCAACCCCCTTCTCCCCTTTCAAGGGAGGTGTTATCATTGTTCCCTATCAAAAAACATCCCCTCCCCCAGGCGACCAGCAGCAAGCCAGGACCGACGAGGACCCCCACCACCATCCCTGCCAAAAAACAATGTGGAGTCAACTTTGTGGCAAGGTCTTTGGGCATAATCGGGGAGGGGCGCAGGCACTATGCAGTTTTTGACAGGGGCGGCGGGGGTGCTCGCATCTTGCCTCCTGCGCGCAGGGACAACATCCTTTTCAAAAATCCCCCGGCCATCAGGCTGCGAGGCTTAGGCTTGCTGCTCCCTGCACCAGTTCCCGTTTCCACTTTCCAATGTTACAGTCATGCTTTCTGCCTCCTGTTGTAAATTGTTGAAGTCCGCCCGAGGGGGGGGAGCCGAAAAGGAGCCGGTTACCACCCCAGAATCGCGTTCTCTGAATTCCTGCGTGGCCGTGGGACGCGTCAAAATACATGAGATTCGCGCTCCCGACGCAGCAATCCCTTGCACATTACATTGTATTCGTGCCCCCGAAGACACGATCTCCGGTAAATTGCACCTAAATCGCATCCCCGTGGCCACGATCCTTTCGAAAATACACATGCTGTCGCGCTCCCTAGGCCACGATCTCCCTCAAATTACGCCACACTCGCGCCCCGAGGCCACGATCCCTTATAAATTACGCCGCATTCGCGTCCCCGAGGCCACGATCCCTTGTAAATCACTTGAAATATTCGCGTCCCCGAAGCAAGCAGCCCTTGCAAATTAAGCAATTGCCGCGTCCCCCAGGCAATGCAAATTATACAATAATTGCGTCACCGAGGCCATTGACCCTCGCAGATTACACGACTCTTACACCCCCGAGGCAACAAACCCTCGTAAATTGCTCAAGTCTTGCTTCAACGAGGACACAAACCTTCGTAACTTACACCGATTTCGCGCCCCCGAAACCAGAACCCCTGGCAAATTACACGTGATTCGCGTCCCCGAATCCACAAACCCTCGCAAATTGCTCAATCATCGCGTCCTCAAGCCAAGATCCGTTCGAAATTACACATGATAGCCACACACACACACATACACACACACCCTCGCAGATGACACAAGTATTGCATTCCCGAGGCAACAAACCCACGTAAATGATTTGAGATTCGCGTCCACGTGGCCATACACCCGTGCAAACTACGCCAGATTCGTGTTGTCGAGGCCGAGAGTGCTCCAAGACGCCTGAAGATGGTTCCAAGAAGGCCCAAGGAGGCCCTAAGAGCGCTCTTAGAGGCTTCCCGAGAGAGCCCCAAGAGGCCAACATCGTCGACTTTACCAAAAAATGTGAAGGAGTTTGGGGCTCTCGCATTTTCGGCTTTCCGACGCTCCAAGATGGCTCAAGAAGCTCCCAAGACCTCCCCGTGACAGCCCGAGACGCCTCTAAGAGGACCCCAAGACGGCCCGAGAGGGCTCCAAGATGGCCCAAGAAACGCTCCGAGAAGCCCCGAGAAGCCCTCAGGAGGCCCCAAGAAGCCCCAAGAGGCGTCCAAGACGCACCAAAGAGGCCTCCAAGAGGCCCAAAAGATTACCCCCGAGGCCCCAAAAGGCCCCAAGAGGCGCCAAAACCGCCTACGAGAGGCTCCCGAGAGGCCCCCACGACACCCCAACACAGATACACGAGGCCTCATATCCACTACCCAAACACGGTGGCGGATGGGCCGAAGGCCACTAGGATAACGCCAACGTCTCAATCTGCGCTGATGATTCCCATCCGCCCCCGCATGATGTTCCCAGATGCACCAAGTCAGCGCCGAGACGCACCGACGCGACTCTGAGAGATCCCACTATGATAGAGGGGGCCTGCGGCAGGGGGCTTCGATAATACAACATGCACGTCGAGGCAACATATGAATCATGCGCGGGCACCCCGCGATCACTGCGCATTGGTTTTCGACTGGGACGGCGAGGTTGCTGGCATATTGCCTGCTGTGCGCAGGCACACCAGACACTATAATGGCCAACTCGCCGCGATTGCGCACTCATTGGCGTACCTGGCACGTTTGGCCCACAATGGGTGCCTGGCGCACCTGACGCGCGAGGCGCGCCTGGCACGCGTGGCGCACCTCGCCCCATCGCTGCGCACATGGAATCTGTGTTGCTTGTCATCAGCTGCCCATCGAAAGACGACCGCTGAACATGCTGAGGCCCGAATGCTATTTATGTATGTGTTGGAAGGGCGGATGATAATGACCGAGACAGTTTGCGGGCGGGGGTGTCTTGACCGATTCCCCCTACACCCTCTCCCTGGGTCTGGACGGGGCCTTCCGCGAGGGGTTGAAACATCCAAGATGGCCTCGGCGAGGAAGCCACAATCATTTATGTTACTACAGTGTTGGCCATCTGTTGGTCTCCTGGGAGGGCAACGACGCTAAGTGAGAACCTCCCCTCGTTTGACCGATCTCCTCAAAGATGGCCTCCGAAGCTCCCAAGGGTGCCCTAAGACGGCTCCCAGGGGTGCCCCAAGAGACCCCCAAGCGGCCCCAAGAGGCCCCCCCAGAAGCACCCAAGACGCCCCAAGAAGCCTCGGCGAGAAGACCCACACCACTGTCTGCAGTTGTTGGCCACATTGGGGCCTCCTGGGGGGGAACCCTAATGTACTACGGCCCTTCCTTTGATCGATCTCCTCGAAGATGGCCTCCGAAGCTCCCAAGGGAGTTGCCCAGGAGGCCCCAAGAGGCCCCCAATCCCCAAGGTGCCCCCAAGATGCCCCAAATAGGTCCCCAAGAGACCCTCAAGAGGCTTCAAGAGGCCCCCAGAGGCACCCAAGACGCCCCGATATGCCTTGGCGAGAAAGCGTGTTTTTTTGTTGTTTTACCACGGTTGTGGCCACATGAGGACCCGAATTAAGGAGCCCCCACCTTTGATCGATCTCCTCCTAGATAGCCCCAAGATGACCCCCGAGGCTCCCAAGGGTGCCCCAAGACGGCCCCAAAGGGTGCCCCAAGACGACCCCAAGAGGCCCTCAAGTTGCCCAGAAGATGCCCGCAAGAGGCTCCAAAAGAGACCCCCGAGCGGCCCCAAGACGCCTCAAGGGGCCTCGACGAGCAGACCGGCGTTACTCTGGTCTCCTGGGGGGGGGGGGCCTAGAACTGCGGCCCCTCCTTTGATCGATCTCCTCGAAGGTGGCCACCGAAGCTCCCGAGGGAGGTGCCCAGGACCCCAAGAGGCCCCCGAGAGGCCCCCAAGATGCCCCCAAGAGGCTCCCAAGAGACCCCCCGGATGCCCAAAAGAGGGCCTCCCCAGAGGCACGCCCCGATGGGCCCCCAGGACTGCCAAGAGACCCTGGAGAACACCCAACAGGACTCCAAGATCCTCTCGGGAGAAACCGGAAGAGACTCCGAGAGGCATCCAAGTGGCTTCTGGCCTTTTCTGCTCGCCCTCCTCCTCCTCCTCCTCCTCCTCATCCTCCTCCTCCTGATCCACCTACTCCTCCTCGAAGTCTGCGCGGACCTCCAATGATGATTCTGATTTTCGAAAGGAGAGGGCGCAATCAGCGCATTGTTATTCCCATCAACACTCTGCGCAATGCGAAAACCTGGCGCGGAGCTTAAAAAACAGTTAACCCGTAAGATGCATCAGTGCCAGAAGGGAGAAGGAGAAGAAGGGCGACGACGGCGCGGAGCTCCCAAAAAACACCGACCCAATCGGACCCCTGCAATCAGCTCAAAAGCGGTCCCTGGACCCGTCCCAGGTCCATCCGGCCCAGCTCTGCCGTGCCGGATCCATCTCTGGCGCCCGCGGGCCCGAAAGCTGGCCCCAGGCGCCGAAGACTGCGAGAAACCTCGCGCCTCGAACGTCCAAAGCCTCTGACTTCCCCTAGGAGCCTGCTTCGATCCGATCCTCGATCCAGACCTCTGGTGTTCGACGACGACCGAAATGGGTACGGAATAGAAATGGCACAATGCTCAACAATGCATGTTATCCAAAACCGACAGCAGCCGCTGTTGGGCAGGCGGCCTCCTGTCCCAAATGGACAACGACCGCAGCCTCGCCAGCAACGGACCCTGCTCAGAACTAAGAAGAACTGCTATTGGACTGTGTGCCCAGTGTTTCCGTACCATCTTCGATCGTGCCGATCTCGTATGGAGGCCTCCGATTTCCTCCAGGCCCAGGGAGGAGGAGGAGGAGGAGGAGGAGGAGGAGGAGGAGGAGGAGGAGGAGAAGGAGCAAAAAGATGAGAAGGAGGAGGCCCCGGGACCGCCACGCAGTCGTTCAGGCACGCCACCGCGCGCGGCGCCGCGGCGCAGCCGCACAGGGCACCGCCGTTCTCGCAGAGCTCGACGGTGCGGACCTGCGGGGGGATACTCCGTCAACGTCGTCGTCGTCGTCGTCATCGTCGTCGTCATCGTCGTCGT